GTAAAGCAGAAGTCCCCTATGGCTTCGAATTTGCCCCCTTGGGCAACCCCATAGACCTTCTTACTCTTCACCGGGAGAGGCAGCAGCAAAGCAGCAGCTGCAGCAGCAGCGCTAGCCGCTGCTGCTGCTGCTGCTGACTCGACGCAGTCTGGGCTGCAGCATAGCAGCAGTGTCAGCAGCGAAGCCCTGAGAAGCCATGTCCCCATCAGGGGCCCTCGGGAAGGCCCTCGACAAGCCCTCGAAGCTAAAAGGGGGGGCTTGGCAGGCATTAGTGTGAAACCTTCAGAGCTAGTCCGGAGAGTCTGAGATTCAAACCCCTGACCAGCAGCCAGCTGGCGGCCCAGAAATAAGCGCGCCTGCCTGAAAGGCAGCGTGAACCCCCTTTGTGGGAAGACTGCAGCGGGGGAGGGGGTGATGTTGCGGTTCGCGTTTACTGAGTGCAGACTTCCACTACGTGTAACGTGCTGTCAATGGAAACGTAGGCGGGAAAAGGAGTCTAGGCTCTCTACGTGAAGGCTATTTGCCAAGAAGCCAGTCTGAATAAGTAAAAAGAAGAAGAAGATGAGAGCTAAGCACCGGAAACAGCTTGTTCAAGTTCCGAGAAGAGCGAACCGGCTGTAGAGGGAGAGCCGCTGACGTGGGAAGCGGCTCGAAAAGTTGACTGAAAATGAGTGTTGAAAATGGAAAAGAGAAAGAAGATTGAAAAGCTGCTAATTTTGTGCACAAATTCAATGCCAAACCACTAGACGTTTTGAGTGGGCGCGTGAGGTGTATGTACACATCAAATCGGTCCACTGGAAACCAACGGGGCCCTCTGCAAGCAGCCCTGGGCTTTCAAGCCCGAAATAATAAGTATTAATTTCAAGTTAAATAGTTTTGAAACGTACATTTTACAATGAGTCGTCTAGCCTAAACTCGCTAGCAGGCTCACAGACAAGCTTCACTCGGTTGTCTGTACTGTCTGTGTGAGCCTCTCGTGTGTCACCAGTTATTTCATTGTTTGCTGCAAACGCTTACGGGGGAGGCTTAGCGCCAAAAGCATGAATAATGCTCTAAACCATTTAGTTATCCAGAGCAGACGGGACCACTATGTAGCGCACTTAGCCTCCGCTGTACAGACAACTGGGAGCGCGGGCTCCTTTCCTAGTTCCTTTTGCCACTTCAGCGGGCCCTTTCCCTGTTTCACTAATTCCTTTTGCCACTTCAGTGACTCACTTAATGCCCTCAATTCCTCCACAACTGCTCGAAAACTGTACCTACACTAGGCAGGTTGACTGAGACAGGCTCGCTCCACACGACACAAAAAACATTTCCCGTTCGCTTAAAACAAAAAAAAACAGAAATCTCCCAAGAGCCACCATCCAAAAAAGGCCAAGGCAGCTGCTAAAAAAGAGTTGCCAAGCCCTCTGCTGCTCGTTTCCAGCAACAAACTCAGAAATTCAAAATTGTGCAACTGCGAATGTCAACTGTTTGCACATTTTGATTTCTAACATTCAATTTGCACAGTTTCGACTTTAATGCTGCTTCTTTGTTTCGCGTCGAAAGCGGCACAACACACCAAAGTGGTCCGAAGGGAAACAGCCCACGCTCTGCAGCCTCTCAGTCCCCACAAGACGCATTTTAATTGGCTGCCAGACAGCAGCAGCAGCGTCGCTGCTGCTGCTGCTGCTGCTGCTTTTACGACGCTTCGCGTGCTCTGCCTCGAGCGCAGCAGGGGCCTCCGCAGCAGCAGCAGCAGCAGCAGCAGCAGACAAAGGGGGGTCAGCAAAAACATATATTCTGTCGAAGCGGCAGCGCGGCTTGAACTTGCGTTTGACTTCTGCATGGTTGTCATTTCGCAGCATATCCCAGGTGTGCATACACCTGACGTCCCTGCCCAGAAACTCCCACGCGTCTATTGCGCCCTCTGGGATTATTGTGTTGCTGCTGCTGCTGCTGCTGCTGCATTCGTTATGGGCGCGCTTGAACCTGCCCCCATTCTGCTGCTGCTGCTGCTGCAGCTGCAGCTCGTCGTCACGCAAGTTAAGGTCCCCAGCGAGAATTGCTGTCCGGACTTTCTGGGGCTTTCCCATTGGAAATGCGTCTGCGAACATTTGCTGCTGCTGCTGCTGCTGCAGCTCCTGCTGCGGGTCTGCAGCAGTGACAGCAGCCATGAGGTCGAAGCAGTGCTGCAGCTGCTGCGTCCTTTCCTTCCGGTTCGGGCGCATGGACTCCAGGTGGGAAGTCAGCAGCAGCAGCGGCTCCAGGGGCCTTTTGCTGCTGCTGCAGCAGCCAAACAGCAAGTGCCGCCCCATGCTGCTGCCTGGATACCACAGAGTCTGAAGCTGCTGCCGCGCAGGCGGCAGCATTTGCTGCTTGCACAGCAGCACGGCGCAGTAGTAGGGACAGCCGGGCACGACAGGGCCTGCTGCTGCTGCTGCTGCTTCGCTGCTGCTGCTGCTGCTGTCTGCTGCTGGGAAGGCGTACGGCGGCGGGCTCGGGAAGAAGAAGCTGTAGTGCTGCTGCAGCCGCTGCTGCAGCAGCTTCGCGCTGCTGTCAACCACCTCCTGCAGCAGCACGACGGCGGGCCGCAGCTGCAGCACAACCGTGCAAACAGCAGCTGTCCGCAGCCGCAGCAAACGCTCATCTAATCCGTCCAGGTTCCTGAACAACGAATGCAAATACCAGCAGCAGCAGCAGCAGCACTTCTGACGGGGGCAGCAGCAGCAGCTGCTGCAGCAGCTGCAGCAGCTGCAGCAGGCTGCGACGGACGCAGCTCGCAAAAAGAACGAAATCAAGCAGCAGGAGCAGCAGCCACCAAAGCAGCATACAGGGCAGTCAGCAGCAGCTGCAGCAGCAGGAATAACAGCAGCTGCTGCTCCCGCTGCAGCGGGCTCTTCCGTGTCTCACCAAGTAAGAAGGTCAAATTCATCTCTCCAAATTGGGAGTTCAGAGTCAGGAAGCAAACCATCTGCCGTAGCCGTGTTGCTGCTGCTGCTGCTGCTGGCGCTGCTGCTGCTGCTGCTGCTGCTGCTGCTCTCCGGCGTTTCACTTTTGCTGCATCCCTCACCTTCTGTGGGGTAGTTAGGGTGCAACTGCTTGCTGCTTCTATCGCTGCTGCTGCTGCTGTTGCTGTTGCTGCTGTCGCTGCCGGCGCTGTTGCTGCTGCTGTTGCTGCTATTTTTGCTGCTGCTGCCATCACGAGCAAGCTTCTTTGTGCTGTTGTCACCGTCGCTGCGGTCTTTCATTCCGCTCCTTTTGCTGCCTTTGGGGGACTCAGATGGTCTAGCCGCTTTACTCCTGCTGCTGCTGCTGCTAGAGCTGCTTGTGGTGCTGCTGGAACTGCTGCTGCTGCTGCTGCTGCTGCTGCTGCTTCTGCTGCTGTTCAGCTGCTTCAGTTTCCCTACTGCAGATTTCGCAGCTGCCTCTGAGTTCTCACTGTCGCTGCTGCTGATGCATATGGGGTCAGCATCGTTGCGAAGCAGCTGGGTTAGTTGCTGCTGCCGTTCAGGCTGTTGTTGTAGTTGCTGCTGCTGCTGCTGCTGCTGCTGCGCAGGCTCAGGCACGGGGGAGCGGCGCGGTGGAGACGCAGCCAGCTGCTGCTGCGAGTGGCATTGCCTCTGCTGCTGCAGGTGTTGTTGCTGTTGCTGCAGCAGCTGCTGCTGTTGTTGCCGGTGCTGCTTGTACCTTTGCGCGCTAATGCGCCGTACTTCCTCTACCTCCTTCGCCAGTTGCTGCTGCTGCTGCTGCGGCTGTTGCGGCTGCAGCTGCTGCTGCAGCTGCTGCCTTTCCATCAGTGTGCACGGTGCGTGCAGCAAATAGCCGATTGGCTTCCCTGTGGAAGTGGCTGCTGCAGCAGCACAGGCTACTGGGAGATCCGAAGCAGCAGCACGCGCAGCAGCTGTAGAACCAGCAGCAGCACCAGAGATGGGGGGGCGGGCGCAGCGATCTTTGATAATTGAAAAGGAGAGGACACAGGAGGGCAAAAAGGCTAAAACAAAGAAGTGTACGAAGGCGCAGACACGAGACTGCCCCAGCATCCGCTGCGGTGTCCGTACACCCGAAAATGACACAGCGTTTGGGGTTTAGCGCTTCGGGCTCTTTGTGTGCGCCTCTGCAGCCTGAAGAACTAAGCCCTTCATTTTTTCATCTTCTAAAGAAAAGCTGAGGCCTGAAGTTTCTGCTGGCGTTATTCCCTAACAGCAAACCCTAAACCCTTGGGCATGCCACACTGGGGTGCTGCAGCTGGCTCTAGCCGTTGCATGCATTAACAGTTCTTCCCGCACTGCTTTGTTTAAGTAAAAGTTGTATTTATTATTATGTACTGTTGCTCGTCATTTATCTGATTTCATTGAGTGGCATCGGGCTTTCGGTGGACAGGGGCCGCGACTGTGCGCTGTGCGTCGAGGCCTTGAAATGGGGCTCTGCTCTTGTGGTTCTTCGCGATAGGATATGTTGCACAAAAGAACTAAAACTAGTTTCTTACTGTCTCCTTTTTAATTTTGGGGTTTTTCACTTGTAAAAATATAGCTTTGAATAAAGCTTTTTGCCCAGGCCTCGCTACGAGCAGGAGCAGCTGGAGGTCGGCTGGCAGTCGATAAGAGTGGCGGACTAAATAGCATACAATTAAAATTCGAAAATAAGAAAAGAAAAAACGCAATTCGGAGTGTAAGGGGAGGAGAGACATGTTAATCTTTTGAGCTGCTAGTGAAGTGTATGCAAACCTCACAGCATTTGCAGCTGCAGTTCAGGTGTACGGACAGCTGAAACTTCGAAACTACGAAAGAACAATAGAGCTTCAGCTGCCATAAAGCTAGGAGCCAGAAGGCCCTGCATCAACTATCTAGAGATTTACCGGGAGTGCTTTGTGGATTCGACACTCTAGTTGCATTTTGGATCAAATATATTAACAAAATCTTAACTGAGTCTTCACTAGGCCACACTTCATTTCAAAAAAACCAAGTTCAAATGCACTGCAGTCTTTGCCCGCCCCCAGCAGCCTCTACAGGCTCAGCAGCAGCATGACAGAAAAACATAAAGCAGCCAGCCGCAAGGCGGCGCACAGCAGCAGCAGCGAGGCCGCTGAGCCAAGTGGCGCTGCAGCAGTAGCTGCGCCGGAGGCAGCAGCAGCAGCGGCTTCAGATGCAGCTGCAACAGCAGCAGCAGCTGCAACAGCAACAGCAACGACAGCAGCAGCCGAAGAGGAAGCACTCAAAGAAGAAAGCCACGCGCCAACGCCAACAGCTTCCTTGGCGGAAGCAGCCCCAACAAACGCGTCAAGAAGCACGGCGGCGCAAGCAGCAGCAGCCACAGCAACAGCAGCAGCAGCAGCAGCCACAACAACGGCAGCAGCAGCAGCAGCCACTGCAACAGCAGCAGCAGCAGCAGGCTCGTTGGCTGGTGGAAGTGCTGTGTCTGTGTCTCGGCTGGGCCTGACTGCTGCTTCTCTGGCTGCTGTTGAAGAGGCCCACTTGTGCGGGCTGGGGTGGCTGCAGCTGCCCACAGACTTGAGCTGCCTGCGCTCGCTGCGCTATGTGTGGCTCTGCAGCAACAGGCTGCGGTCTTTGGCTGCGTTGGCTGTTTGCGGGGGCCTCAAGGAAGTTTACGCAGACAGCAACGAGCTGGTTGCTGCTCCGCTGCTGCCCAGCAGCAGAAACAGCCTCGAGCTGCTTTCTCTTGCTGCCAACAAAGTCCAAGACCTCAACCAGCAGCTCACAACACTTGCTTCTTTCCTCAGGCTCTCCCAGCTTAACCTCAAGGACAATCCAGTGGCTGCTGAGACTCTGTACAGGTAGGCGCACCGGCAGCAGCGGCAGCAGCAGCTGCTGCAGCAGCTGCTGCAGCAGCTCCTGGTGCAGCACCGCGGGCACAGGAAAAGGCTAGAGCAGCAGCAACGGCGACATAGCAGTGCAACTGCCTTCTTGTGATATAGCTGAGGCTGCAGTTTCCACCCAAGCTCATGGGCTGCTGCTCTACTCGTTACAGCTTCTGCTGCTGCCCATAAGCTCGGCTGGAAGCAACAGCTTGAATTGCTGCACAAAAGATCTGCTGCGCTGGCTGCTGCTGCTGCTGCTGCTGCTGTTGCTGTGACTCTGAAGACCCCGAGTTGCACAAGCCTGCCGTGAGCTGCGCCTGCTGGATTTGCTGCCAGTTGAAAAAGAAGAGAGACAACTCACTGCTGCTGGGCTTCCGGCCGCCACGCCTAGGCGTAATTTTTCGAAGCAGCAGCAGGAGCGGCAGCAGCAGCTGCTGCTGCAGCAGCAGCAGCAAAAGGACGCCGCCGCGGCTGCATCTTACGTATCAAACGGCTGCTTCGAGTTCTCCGTTTGCTTTTCGAAAAACGAGAGACTCGCGCTGCTTGCTGCTGCAGCAGCAAAGAAGGAGAGAGAAGAAATTAACAACCTGCGACCCTCTTTAAAGCAACAGCTGCTGTGTCCTGAACCCCCAACAAAGACACAAAAGCGCAATGAAGCAGACACTAAGCAGCAGAAACATCAAAGAGCCACAAGCCGAGTGGCCGTTTCCAGTAGCAGCAGCTGCAGCAGCTGCTGCTCCTTGGAGCCCTGGCAGCTGGAGGTGGTGAATGGTCACCTTAAGACTTTGGCAGCCAGCGAATCAAGCAGCAAAGCTGCTGCTGCAGCAGCAGTAGCTGCTGGCAGTGCTGCTGGTGCTGCAGCAGCTGGGCCCCGCAGGCCGAGCCGCATGACGGCGTCTAGGCAACCAACCGAAACAGCAGCAGCTGCAGCAGCTGCAGCAGACGCAGCCATAATCCCGTGGAACGAATGCCGACGCTTTTGCAGTGAGCTGCAGCAAGACAAGAGGTTCATTGGTTTGTCTTTGTCTGCTGCTGCTTCCTCCGCGCTTGAGGCTTACATATGCAATAGCATTGAAGAAGCCAAGAAAAAAACGGAAGCATTAGCAGCAGCAACAGCAGCAGCCCCACCAAATCCTGCACTCTCTGCTTCTCTCAAAACGTCAAGCGGAACAGCAGCAACGAAAGGCCGTGCAACTGCAACGGCTGCTTCAGCAGCTGCAGCAGCTGCTGCTGCAGAGCAGCAGCAAAACAAAGATGCCGCAGCTGTAGCAGATGCTCAGCAGAAGTTGCGCGGCGTCCCAGTCAAAGAGTTCCGACAGTGGCTGCTGCAGCAACAGTGGCAGCTCAGGAAGCCCAAAGAGATCCGAGAAGCTGCGGACTGTCTGTATGCCCGAGCGCAGCGGCTCTTGCAGCAGCAGATACAGCAGCAAGCGCAGCAGCAGTTGCAAGCGCAGCGGCAGTTACAAGCGCAGCAGCAGCAACTGCAGCAGCAGCAGCCAGCCCAACAGCAGCAGCCGGTGCAGCAGCAACAGCAAGTGCAGCAGCAACAGCAAGTGCAGCAGCAGCAGCAAGCGCCGCAGCAGCAGCAAGCGCAGCTGCCGCAGCAAGTGCAGCAGCAGCAGCAAAAAGCTTTCGCTGCAGTAAATCAGGTAAATGCTTGGCCAAGCTGAAACGAAGGAATTTTTCCAGCCCGCTATGCTCACGTACTTACACAGCTGCATGGACATCTACCCAGCTAGCCACAAATTCAGTTTTCGGACTAGCTAGCTAGCTGAGAAGGAGGCGGACTCGAGTGCGAGCCGCAACGGACTGGCCAGCAGCGGACTTCACTGGCCAGCCAACCAGTTTTCTAGCCGAAAAGATAGCCTGCTTCGTCAGCTAGCTATCTAGGGAGCTAGCTAGCTAGCTAGTTTAGACGAAATAGTTGAGGTGTACGTACAGCTGAGCTGTGGAGTCTGCAGGCCACTCTACTGAATCGGCTCGCTGATACTGTAGAGGCTGCAGAGGAGAAAGACAAGCAGCACGATTTTGCGCCAATGTCAGACCTAGACCCTAAACCCTAAACCCTAAACCCTCAGAGCAAATATCTAACAGCGAAAACCGCCCGGCAGCCCGTAAGCTGCATCCGCAGACCCTAAACCCATTCCGTATGTACTACTGCAGCATAACAATCCGAAAAAGGCCCATCTTTGTTTGCTTTTGTTCTTTTTGTGTTTCTTTCTGTCTCCAGAAAGCCCGACGGGGACTTTGTGCTGCTGCCCTTTGGAGGACGTGCGCCTGCTGAAGGTTCTCATTTAAACTCTCGGCTGGTGCTTGTGCCTGTCAGCATGAGCCCAGCCAGCCCTAAACCCTAAACCCTACACTCTGCCTTGGCCACTACAGTGCCGGCAGTGGTTTCGGGTTTGGGGTGCAGGGTAGAACGGTGGGGTGGCTACGCGCCTGTAGATTGAGGCTCAGGGTTTGCGGGCTCTACGAGATTGTGATCCTTTAAAAGCTGATGTAGGGATTGATTTCTGAACATTTCCAAAATGATATCGCAGCCCCCGATTAGCTCCTGGTTTACGTACACCTGAGGGAAGGTCTGCCACTGGCCAAATACTTTTGCAGCTTCCCGCAGCTCCGGGTCCGACAATACGTCGAAGTATGGGATTTTCTCCACCCCGCATGCCTGGCACACAACCCTAAACCCTAAACCCTAAACCCTAAACTCTAAACCCTACAGAGCCGCTGCGGGCTAGGGGCAGAGAACTGGTCAAGAAAAACGCGCAGCTGCAGGGGATGAGAAATCGCGAACAAACTGAAGGACCTGATTAAAACACAACTCAGTTTCGCATACTTCTAAAACCCAACCCCAAAGTCCCAGACATCAGCCCTAAACCCTAGAAAGCCGAAACCCTAAACCCTGAGTTGTGGAGACTTGCCTGGAGCGCCTGCACCGTGACCCTGCTGAAGCCGCACTGGGGCTCGTCAGGGGTGCCCTTGAGAAGGACAAAAAGTTTGTTTTTCTTTACCAAGTCCTCTACCCTTTGCAGCGCCTCAGGTGATACTGCAGGGGGACCAGCGTTCGATTCCCCCCCACGACTTAATAAATTAACTGACTTTAGGGCCGACGAGGGACCCGAAAAACGCTGAGAGTCACCTTTAGAGAGATTTCTACGACTTAATAAGGGAGAGGCGGGTTTTGAAGACTGATCCGTGGGAAAGAAGTTAAGGCTAAGAGAGCTGCGGACGGAATAGCCTACTGTGGACGCAGGCAGCTGCAGCAGCAGCAGCAGAACAAGATGCGGCAGCAGGAGCTGTAGTTGAGGAGGCGGCAGCAGCAGCTGCCGACTTGCTTCTCTCATGAGCAGTCGCCGCCCCAGTGAACTCGTCGGTAGCGAATCCCACGCAAGCGCTCGGGTGTATGTACACCAGGAACGCGAAAGTTGATTCAGGTGGGCACCTTGGTGTTCAGCCAAAAGACGAAAACGCAGAAGAGATAGTTTACAGGTTAACCAAACGTGAAGCCAGAAACTTTAAGTAAGCCCCCTTAACTGGGGAAGGGAAGCTCGCTGAACACACTGGGATAGCATAAAGTGTCTTGAAAACGAAAAGAATAAAAACGATGCTTTTAAATGGGGAAAATGTGAAAAAAAACGATTCAACGTCGGATATCACGAGAGAGAATGTGGGGCCCCTCAGCGCCCGGCGTCGTCTGCACTTGCCAGTTCAGCTACTCCGAGAAATGTGAAGCAGACAAATGACCCCAAGTTCTCACTTGATAAACTTCATTATATGACAAAAAAAGAGATTCATACAGTTTGCCGTGGGATATCTGAAAATTTAAAAGCGACAACGGCAGGATTCGAACCTACGCGGGCAGAACCCAATGCCTTAGCAGGGCACCGCCTTAACCACTCGGCCACGTTGTCATGTCTCCCTCCGCTTGAGAGGTGAAGTGTATTAAATAATCAATGCATTCGACTCCCCATCCACTCTTTTTGAGCAGCCTACAGCTTGTGGCATTTACCAGAACAGCTGCTTCAATACACTCTTTTCTAGAATTGGTCTTGGGCGTTTCAACGCGCGGGCAACAAGACTTGCTGCAATTCCACTGGGGTTGTACTTAGCTAGAAGAGAAGTTGGCAGTAAACAATGAAGAACCAGCGAGCAACGAGGAGCCATTTAGCTATTTGTTGTGTTCGTTATAGTGGCGCTGGCAACATTCTTAATAATCATATACCCTGAAACCTAAACTCTCAGTCGCCCCCGCGCTAACAGCTAAAACAGATTCAAATTCGTTTCCTAGATGTTGGTGCAGCTCCTCTCTGGCTCCTCGAGCAGCACAAAGCAGAACCGACCCAAGGAAGCCGAAGTGACAGCGGCCTTCCGCTGCAGCAATCACATTCACAGCAGCAGCTGCAGCGAGTGGAGCGAAGCCAAAGGGGCAGCAAGGGAAATAGCAGCAGAAGTGGCGCATGCAGCAGCAGTCACAGCAGCACAATTAGAAATAGAAAACGTAGAAGTTGAGCAGCGGCAGCAGGCCACACACACAGCCCAACAGAAAGAAACAAACAATACAAAACACTTGCGAAGGAAAGATGAAACAATTTTGCTCAAGCAAAGACCCACAGATTGATACTCAGTAAACAGCTGCAAGTCCGTTGGCGTGCTACCCCAAGTTCCCGAGAAGCCCTGCAGCTTCCTGACGACCGCACACAGCTCCTGCCGTTGCCTCTGGCGTTGCTGCTCCGGTTGCTGCAGCAGCAGCAGCGTTGGCTCACCGCCGCACGTGACTGCAGCACAAACCTCTGTGGGGCTGATAGCCGAAATGTCTTGGAGCTCCGAGCTGCCAACTGTCAGGGGGGCCCCCTCTAGGGGGGCCTCCTGAGGTTCCCCCGAGCGAAACAGACTCTGCGGCTGGGGGTTGCTGCTGCTGTCTTGTGGGCTGAAAGAGAGCAGCCAGCTGTCTATCCACGCTGCGGGGAATGTTACGGCGCTGCTGCTCCTGCTGCTGGTGCTCGCTCCTGCTGCTGCCTCAGAAATAGCAGCAGAAGTGCGGATGCAGCAGCGGCACAGACACGCAGGGTCTGTATAGATGGAGTCTGTTGCGGCTGCTGAAGGCGCTCTTGTTACTGCTGCTACTGCTGATTTGGCGTCGCGTGAGGCCCACCAAACAGCAAAGCCGCCGGCTGCCTTGGGAGTGATGAGAGATTGGTGCTCCCTTTTCTGCTGATGACCTGTAGCAGCGTCCGCAAGATCAGAAGAAGAGGCTGGCAGCAGCTGAGCCGGTGCAGCAGCAGCAAAGCCAGGCAGCTGCAATGCAGCAACCCTAGCGCCTTCACCCAACCAGAAACCTCCCGTCATCTGCCGCCTACGGAGAAAAAGACAAAGTACACGTCTTATTGCGATGAGTCTTGTTGTTACTGTTGTTCTGCTGCTGAAGAGGATCGTAGTGCTGCTGCTGCTGCTGCTGCTGTTCGTCGTGATGGATAGCTGACCTGAAATTTTGCGCTACTACACGCGCCTCTCTGCAGCGCTTTAAAAGGAAGTCAATTTGATGCTCTGCCTGCACCACCTCAAACGCGCAGCGACCAAGTCTGTGCAGCTTCAGCAGCAGCAACGGCAGAGGTAGCAGCAGTAGTGACAAAAAAGTTAGTACAGAAAAGTGAAATAAGGGCCTTTCAGTTCTTGCTGAACTGGCTCCAACCAAACCTGCAGCAGCAGCAGCAGAAAAAGCAACAACAACGAGAGCAACAGCAGCAACAAGAGCAACAGCAGCAGCAAGAGCAGCAGCAACAACAAAAACAGCAGCAGTGACTGACCTTGCGGTGCCTCCGCCGCAGCGAAGCGACGCTCGCAGCGCTGAGCTCAGATGTATCTGACAGAAGCAACTCGGTGCATGCTGCTGTGGAGTCCAGCTCTGCAGCAAGCTCACCTGCAGCAGTAGCAACAGCCACTGCAGCAGCAAGGTAAGCGAAGCAAGGAGAAATAAAGGCAGCAGGCAGGAAAGCAGCAGCAACGTGAGGACCCGTGAAACCTTACACACGGAGTCACTGACAGCCAAGAGATCTGCCGACATCCGGCGCACAGCGCATGCTGCTCTTGCTGCTGTTGTTGCCGTTGCTGTTGATGCTGCTGAAGTCGTTGCTGCCGATGCTGTTGCTGCCGTCGTTGCTGCAGCAGTCGCCTTTGCCGTTGCTGTTGCTGTTGCTCGTGCTGCTGCCTTTGGCTCGTTGAAGTCAAGGCTTGCTTCTGGGGCAGTAGGCGATTGTTCAGGATTGGGAGACAAAGACACAGTGGTAGCCGCAGCATCAGCAGCAGGCGATGCACCAACGGCAGCAGCAACGGCAGCAGCTGCTGCTGCTGCTTGCTCTGCCAGCACCATGGCTCGAGAAATAGCAGGATGAACCGTCTGTTGCACGATCGCTGCCAAATTCTGGAGGTGCTCAGGCTGAGAAACACAAGCGCGCCGTGAACCCTAAACCCTTAACCCTAGATCCTGGTGCACAAAGCTTAATGTCTATACCTCAAACCCTCGTCGACAGCAACTGACCATTAGCGGAATGAAGGCCTCCGATGCGTCGCTGCGGCTCACAAGCCCACCACACACACACCCTCTACCCTCACCTTTGTAGCAGCAGCACCGGCAGCAGCACCAGCATCAGTACCAAATGCATGATGTGGGACAATGTGGCTAAAGACAAGGAGCAGCAAAAGAAGCGAGCTCTCACATTCTGTATGTACTGCTGCTTAGTGCTGGCACTTGCATTTGCCCTTGCTGCTGTTGCTGATGGTGCTGCTGCTCCTGCACTTCCTGCTCCATGCAAGACGAATCCGTGGCAGGCGTGCTTATTTCGACCGTGGTGAAACTGGAAGGTGCAGCAGCAGCAGCAGCGAAAGCAGCAGCATCAGCAGCAGGGGCTACTGTAGTTGCTGCTACTGCTGCACCTGCTGCCCTTTCCTGAAGTGAAGGGCAACTGGCTGAAGCAGCTGACGAAGCGCTCTGCTGGCTTTCTGCGGCAGCATGCTGTATTGTTGGGGAGCTTGATTCCCTAGCAGCAGCAGCAACAGCGGCAGCAGCAGCAGGATCAGCAGCTGAAGCAACAGCAGCACCAGCAGTCCACAAGCCTTTGACTTGCTGCAGTGCCGCTGCTGCGAACGCTAGGTCGTTCTCTGCTGCCTCCATCAGCAGCAGCGCAGCAGCGACGTTCTGCAATATCACCGGAAGCTGCAGCACAAATACAGCAGCTACTTGCTGAACCCTGCAGCCACTGTTGCCGCTGCTGCTGTTGGTACCAAAGGTCGTTGTGGTGCAGCTTCTTCCGCAGTAGAGAGCCTGCATGTAGCTATAGAAGTACCTGTGGAAGCCATGCGAGCACTAGGAAGCCATCACGCTGCAGCAGCGGCGGCTGCTGCTGCTGCTGCTGTTGCTCTGCCACAACCCGTTTCGGCATCGTTGCTGCTGTTGCGGCTGCTCCTGCTGCCCCTGTTGAAGCTGCTTCTCCTTTTTCTACTGCCTGCGGAGGCGGAGTGACCTCCAGGGGCCCTTTACATTCGTGGGCGTTTCCGCCCACAGAACCCTTGTTTGGATGCTCTGAGCGGCAGTTTCCTGTAGCAGCAGCAGCAGCACCTGCTGCTGCTGCTGCACTTCCAGCACTGGCAAGTACTGAGTCCGAAGGTGCCAAAAGAAAGGCAAGACAGTCCAGTGACGGGCTCAAACACACTGTCCGCACATGCAGATGGTGCTGCTCCAGCAGCTGCCTCAACGGGGCGGAAGTAGTAGACGTTTGCTGCTTTGATGCTTCTTCTTTATGCTTTTTCCCTGCTGCTCCTGCTGCTGCACTCTCAGAACAGGTGGAGGGCCCTTCACCAGATGCAGATACTCGACTTGGCGGCAACGAGGAGACAAGGCCTCGCCTTGAGATGGCAGGCGCATTGCTGCAGTGGGAAGCAGCTGCTGCGTCAGCCGTTGCCGCAGCAACTATTGCTGCTGTTGGTGCTGAGACTGCGGCTAGTGTTGGTGTTGGTGTGGCTGCTGCAGCTGGCTTGCACGGAGTGTCTTTAGAAGGCCTCACGTCACCAAGAAGAGGCACCAAAGAACCGCTGATTTTCCAATCCTCATCCTCTTCGTTGTTGCTGCTGTTGCTGTTGTTGTTGTTGTTGCTGCTGCTGCTGTTATTCTGGTATTGCAGGTGTGGGGTGGAGTAGGTTGGTGCTCTTTTGCGCTTTGCAGGAGAGGCTTTTGGGGGCATCAGCAGCATGTTTTGCTGCTTCTGCTGCTGCTGCTGCAGCTCCTCCTTTTGCTGTTGCTGCTGCTGTGGAGATAAGCCGTAAATCTTAGAAATGTGGGGCTTCAGCAAGTGGGTGTCCCCCTGAGGCAGTAGCTGCTGCAGCTGCAGGAAGACAAGCGGCAGCAACCCGTCTAAAGAGCAGCAGCAGCAGCCAGAAGCATCTGCGGACAGGAGACACTGCAAGGGGCGCTTGCTGCTGCCATTGGGGTCAGCAGGGTGCAGCATCACAGCGCTGCAGCTCTTGCTCATGCTGCTGCTGCTCCTATTGCCATTCTCGTCTCTGTGGCTGCTGCTTCCACTGTTGCTAAGATCAGCGATCTCCTCCGCTGCTGCAGCAGCAGAAGCAGAAATGAAGAGGGGTTCTGGCTGCAACGCAGCAGAAGCAGATATGACAGAGAGAAAGGCAGAGTCCTGCTGCAGGAGCATGTCAAGGCTGAACCACTGCAGCGCCACAACTGCTGCTGCAGCAGCAGCAGCCTGCTGCCGCTGCAGCTCGAGCCACTCCATTTGCAGCAAAACGCGCTGCAGCATTTCGCGAACTTCAGCTTTAGTGGCCAGCAGCCGCAGCTGTGCCTCTTGCTGCCGCTGCTGCTGCCACTGCCGCTTCAGCCGCAGCTTCAGGCACGCGTGCTGCGGAGCAAGCTCTTGCTGCTGCTGCTGCTGGAGAGGCTCTTCCAGAAGTTGAGAGGACCCGTGGAAAAGTCTTGCTTCCTCGTGCTGCTGCTGCTGTGCAGTGGCTTGCCTGCAACCCGGTGCCTCCCCCTCTCCGCTGCTGCTGTCATTGCTGTTACTGCTGCTGCTGCTGTTGCTGCTGATGTTGGTGCCGTTGCTGCTGCTGCTGAAGTCTGTGTGTTTCCTCCTGCATGCAACGAGAGAGCCGTCGCGGCCCCCCAGCAACATCAAACCCCCGCAGTTCAGTCCCACAGCTAGCCACTGCGGCTTCTGCTGCTGCTGCTGCTGCTGCCACTTGTCGCAAGCTGTGCTGAACGCAAAGCTGCTGCACATATCTGGGAGGCCCTGTCGCCATAGGAGCCTTGGGTCTCCCTGAGTCAGCAAAAAAGACAAAAACGCATCCTCAGCGGGGCTAGGGACTGAAGATTGGGGTTCAGGGTTTAGGGTTTGGGCTGACCTGCACATCAAATACCTCAGCACCTGGGCCAACGCGATGTACAGACTCCTGGTGGTCCCTAAACTGCTGCTGCAGCAAACGACAGCGCGCAGCTAGCTGCTTTTGCTGCTGCCGCAGGACAGGCAAAGAAGCAGCAGAAGCAGAAACTGTTGCGGCCGATCCTGCCTCCGCCGCGGGGGGCGGAGGGATCTGCACGTCAACAAGAGAGTGCACATTCTTTAGGAGCTCTTGAGAATCCCTCACTGCCGAGACATGGTCGGCATAAAGGGTCTCAGCAGGCGCCGCCGGTGTCACTACAGCTGCTGCTGCTGCTGCTGTTGCTTCTAAGGATACTGGCGACGGAACAGCTGCTGGAAATGTTTTTGTTGCAGAAGCTGCTTCAAGGGATGGTGGTGCTGCGGCAGAAGGGCGTGCGACGGCGATGGCTAGCAGTTGCTGCTGCTCCTGCTGATGCAGAACAAGGGGAGCTGAGAAAACAGCTGCCTGGATCTTCTCTTTGCTGCCACGCCGGTAAGGGAAACGGCCGCGCCGGTACAGCATCGTTTCGAGGTGTATGTACACGTCAGGCCCTGAGCTTCAAACCCGAAGCCCTAGACCCTCAGGAGGAGCCTCATTTGCCATGTGCACAAACACGGAATCCTCCAAATCCACTGCATCTATGCTCTGTCTGTTTATCATAGCTCAGGAGATTCTTAGATGTATCGAATGAGGGGACAGGCCTTCACTTTTCACCCTCCTAGGCGCCGCAAGGCCTTGCCGTTAAGCTGAGGTGTTTGGAGAGGCACAGTTCAGGCATTGTTGTTTAAGATTGAAGGTTTACAAGCTCATTTCTGCTATCATCGCAAATAAACTAATATTTAGGCGGAAAACGCTTACAGGAGCGCCATGTGTTTTTCGGTGGGGTCGTGTTTGTTGGCTGCATGCATCCGGTTTTGCATGTGCAGGCAGCTCTGGCACCTACGTAGTGGCATTTGTTTCATGGTTTTACCCTTCTATTAGGCAAGTAGCGTTAGGGCGGAGAGCAACAAACGCGCCTGCAGCACAGACAAGGTAGAAGTTGCCTCAAGCCCGTTGGCTTGGAGAAGTACTAGTTTTCAGCTTAGGCTGCAAGGCGAACAGCAGATGCAGCCTACGGGAGTTGGAGTAGCTAGGGCTAAAACAGCGGCTATGAGCCGCTCAGAGGCATCTAACGGCTGAGAGGGAGCCAGACGCAACCGCGCTAGAGAGGCGCTCTCAGAAGACATAAATAGTATGGGGAAATGCCAACAGAGCAAGACAGACGAAAGGACCAGAGAAACGATGGCACTGGGCGAGGGCAGTGGGGAGCTGCAGCCCAAAGTGGCATATCTAGTTAGGTCCCGATGCTCTAAATGGCCTAACTTGAAGCCTCTGCTAGGCGTATCCTTCCAGCCTTATTAGGGGGAAAAGAGCAGAGGCTCATGCAGCAAAATCCGGCTGGAAGGCTAGCCCAGCGCCTCAGTCCTGCGCTTGCGAGTTCCCCTCTTAGATATAGCAAATAGGGGCAACAGCACGTGAGGGTCCTACATAGCAATTCGAAGGAACTCTGATTTCATTCCCCTGAAACGCACCTCCTATGCCATCAGCTGCAGCCTCGGAGCTCGCTGAAGGCCTACAAGGGTGCACGGCCTCTGGCACGCTGCAACAGCTTGATCCCCCTTGGGTGCTACTCTTCAACTAAAGAGCTGTGGAAGCCTGCGCTAAGCGTCCACATGTGTGTTTATTTTCGCTCCGAGAAGCTGCCTCTCTACTTTGCCCTTTGCCTGCCCCCTTCTCTGCTCCGATGTTACTCGCCAGAAGTTTCACTTTACTTCAAGGCTTAGCTGCCAATTCATGCCATTTTCCTACAGTTGCTGCTGCACATATGTGTACCGCTGAAGCACTATCAACTCCAGCGCCTTCCCCGTGCCTCCTTAGCACAGTTGGTAGTGCGTTTGATTCGTAATCAAAAGGTCGTGGGTTCGATTCCCACAGGGGGCTACTATTTTGCACAGTTGATGTGTGGTCCCTTACCCTGTAGTTCCTCTCTACTGTAAATTTAGAGGAACGAAATGTCCACACAGTTCATGCTAAGTGTTTTGCATGTATAAATTTGGAACCGAAATTCGCGTCGCCTCCACGAAGAGAAAAAACACTGTGAAGTGAATCACTGAGTCTCCGCGTACGTTGGAAACGCTCTTACGAGCTCTGTAGAGGCTATTCACAGTGCCCAGTTCACAGGCTGCCTTTTAGACCTGCTACGGAAAGCCATAGTTTGAAATTAAATGCATTTTTAAGCGACGCAGCTACATTGTCTGCAAATCCAACCTTCAGCTTCGTCGAGTGATATTTCAGGCTTTTTTGCCAAGTCTGTCTTCTACCGCTAGAAGAGACCACAGCTCAACAGAGGTCATCCTTTGCATGCTGGTATAGCGAAACTGAGTTTCAAAATAGAGGAGATAAAACTTGAAGGCTACACCCTTCGGCCTTCTGGTGTTTCCGTCATGTCATCGATGCCGGAAGTATTTCTGGTGACAAAAAAAACTAGCACTAACTGCGCCGATCCTAAGCCTTTCTTTCCCTTCACATTGACCCTAAATTTGAAGATGGTGGTCGGCTGTTAATCCGTATTGTGCTCTTATTGAGCAATTGCTGTCAGAAAAAATGTTCTGCTTCTGTAAATTAGGTGAAAGCAGCCATATATAAAAAATACGGATTTGCCAAAGAAGTCCTGCGGTCAGGAAAACTAAGCTCTACTCAAGCACGGGGAGCAACTTAAATGGTGGCTTTACCCTGTACTATTCTAGCCTTGATGTTGTGCGCGAGAATCTTCGCTGCCTTCTTCATTTCAAAGAACTTCTCGTCCGTAATGTACTCTGATGCGACAGATAGAATCTTTGTCAGCCCATGTGGGTTGGTAGGCGATAGACTGATGTCTCCAACTACGGGCATGTTAAACCTGTAGAAACAATGAGATAACAAAGTGATATTCTCATCCCTGAAAATTGCTATCGAAGGGATAAGGTAAACTTCCGCAACAGCTCAAGCCCTTGACAACTGCCAGTTTGCATGAATGCAACAGAAACCAATATTCTTGCGTAGGTATACCTGAAGTAAACGTCCAGACGGTCTGCGAGCCAATGCAAGGCTTCTCGATGAGCAAACAAAGTCGCAGTGGTAAGGCCTTCAGTAGCAAACGGCTCCTGTAAAGAAGACAATATAAACGAAACTAAAGTTCGTCCGATTTGCAACTACTCACAACTCTCCTGGCACACTGGAAAGGCTCAGCACGCAAGAGCCAGTGTAAGCACAATAGAACGAACAGAACTGCGCCAAAATTTAGTCAAAGTACCAAGGGCCCCTGCCGGACTGAAGACGTTGTGAGGAATTTGCGGGCGCCCAATGAGACGAGCAGTTGGAGGTCCGACTGCACCACAGCAAGTGCAGCGCCAATGTGTTTTCCATGCCTTCCCGCGTATGAAAATGAGGCGTTTTAAGCACAGTGTTTCCCCTAGCCTAGATTCCCATCCTGAAAGTTCCAGATCCATGCTGGAACTGCCCCGCCCTCTTTCTGCCCCTGCGCAACGGTGCGCCCCCAGTTGGCCCCAGCATACGTGTATAAAGCTCCGCAGTGGCTTGTGTGCAAGACGTGCACATTCTTCGAGCCCTGCAAGTGTGGGGTTTGCCGCAAGAGCATTTGTGCTGGTGGAACCTGTGAGACAGACTTTCGGCTCCACGAAAAACCCCATGCCTTCCAAGTCTGCAGGTCTGATGGGCCTAACAAATGCACCAGTCAAACAACAAAACATTTATACAACTACATTTCACTGCTTTTTACTCTGAGATATTGCAGTCGGCTTGCAACGTTTCCCTCCGCCACAGCTGGTACGAGTCATGCCTGTTACTATCTCACCTCAAACTGCCCGGAGAGGCAATTGTAGCCCACGCAGCTACCCAAAGGGGACAACGGCTGGTGCCCCGCAGCGAGCGGACATGGCTGGCTGCAGCAGCGCAAGCAAATTGTACAAGTCAACAATAGATCTATGGGCTCCTGGCAAGTGGTACGACCGTAGCCTGCTTCGTCTTCGTCGCAAAATAGGTAAACGGAGCATCCTACTATTTGCTCTAGCAGCGTGCAGCTTAGTAACCCGCCCTTACCTGGCGATGTGTGCTCATACGTTCGCAGAACAAACTGCTGAGGTGGAGACTGTGCGATGTCGCTGCAAGTTATCGTGCTGAAAACAAGACACAGAAATAGGCATGATCGCACCTGAAATCTCCGTAGACAATAATCTGCTATACAATGTTGCGCATGAGCAACGCCCCTAAAGAGGCACCCTTTCTGCAGTGCTCCATGCTGGATAGAGGCACATGTACTACGACGGTAAAATTCCAATAAAAATGTCACCACACCCCCTAAGAAGAGCAAAGATGGTTGCCTCCATCAAATCCACCTCTTCCAGTCCAAAGCAGCAACATACAGACAACGATTGAGAAAAGAATATGGTTGAACAACAGAAGAACCGTGGATATTCACATGCGTTCCAATCTAATACAAGTTTCCCTCATCTGTACCCGAGAGGTGCATTCAAAGTATTGAGAAACCGCCAACCAAACTTGTCAACGAGTTCGCTCCTGAGGATCTTCGGCTCTACTCCTGAACAAGCGCTCAACCAAGACAAAGGCACAAGTGTGCGTGTGTTAGAGACTGCATCGTTGGAAGGTCTCTAGCTACACCTGTAGCGCCAGAGGCAAGCAAGTGGAAAGTTAGGGGTAACCATTGATGAATGCCAAAAACGCAAACGGGAAGTAAACAGAGCAAGGCAACAAATATGACCGTAAAAGAAGCGCAGAAAATCTAGGTCTAACGACAGATCTGGCAACTTTACCTGAGACAAGCTGCAGGAAGAATGCCTCCCTCCACTCTGGAGCTAGCTCGTCGAGGTTCTTTCCTGCAACACCCGTCCATTCCTTCAGCAAGCGTGTTATAGTGATGCCCCGAAGCAAGGCAAGAGCCAATAGCGCACCTGTAAACAAAAGCAGAACCAAAAGCCACGACACGCTTTCTGTTGATTCCCGACACCTTAATTGCCAAGCTCTTGATGTTGGACGACAGCTAGACTTCCATCCCTCGGCGGCTCACAACCATCCCACAACAGTCATCTACCAAAAAATAGTGGCTTAGTGAGTTGTACCTAAAATCTTTCACGAGCACGTTCTTTCCAAATCAGTAAAGGAAAAACACGAAATGCGGAGCACCCAGAACTTAGTACCACAAGCATGGTTCCAGTCTAACTATCCTCTTAGTACCGCAAGCATGGATCCAGTCTAACTACCCTCTTAAGCAAAAGATGCCTGGCGTTCCGGGCAGAAAGTAAGGTATGATGATGCAGTCAAGGTGAGAAGCTCAAGGCTCGGCTTTTCTTCTCGGATTTACCGGTGCCAGTGCCAACAACAAAGTCAAAGCAACTGGTCAAGTTGATTCTTCTGTCGCCCAAGAGAAAGCGCACTTCCTTCTCCAACTGGCGCAGCATCACGAGCTGCCCCACAGCTGCATACAGGCCCGCCCCATCTAGAGACAAAATGCATTTCCTGCAAACAAAAACAAAACAAAAACTCACAAAACGTTTCATAACAATCAGCAAGGAACGCATTCATAGACGGCAGAAGCACCGGCCGAGGAAATCGCTGGAGGCAAGGAGACCATCTGCGCACTAAAAGGCGAGAAAATTTGCAGGCTGTGCTCGCGCGTTTTTACGCCTTCCTGCGCATCTAGATATGTGTTAAAGCCTCAATTCATGCACACAAGCATATACTTATGCAAGATTGCTGGCATTGCAGCAACACGCTGAAGCATGAAATCACACGAACAAGCACGTGATTCGCCTGTGTTGGCGTATGCACAGCGTTCGTCCAACCCCGCAACTTTGTGCTTCCCAGATCCCCTTACGAATGCGTTATTACCTGCCGGCAGAGGCACAAAGGGGAGATATCTCCTTATAGATCGCTGAAGGGGAACCGCAGTAAACCAGCTCCAAAGTGGAGCTAAGGGACATCCCTAAGGACATGCTGGCGCGCAAGTCGATTAAGAGGTGGCATCCTGAAAAAACGGAAATCAACTTTGGCCAAGGGAAACGAATCTGCTGATTTTCAGCTTCAGCACCATGCCCAACTGCGAAAAAAAGATTTTCCTTCAAAACATACTGCTCCCTAAAAAGTTCACAGAGGAGCACCACTTCGATCCAGTGCTCTACTATGATGCCGCTGGAGGCTTGTGAGATACAAGCGCCTCCTGACATGGAAAACTCGCCGCCTATTGGCTAGTCTACGTTGACCTTCTGACCTAGACCCTAGAATGTAGAGCCTCGGCCCGAAGTCTGCTACAAACCGTAACTACATAAGCGCATGCATGGCAATACCAACAACAGCCACTGAGCAAAAGGCAGTGCTGCGAAGCTGCCTTACCAGCGGACGGCACGAAGATGAACGAAAACTTGCGCCGTTTGGCCCTCACGGAAACGATATTACAGGGGAGAAGTTTCACCAGTTGCTGCTGTTCCCCCAGAGGAAGACTGTATTCCTCTCCGGTGTCTGTGTAGTGTCCATCTGCTTCATAAAATAAGACATCTTCCTTCAGTTCTTCCTGGTCCTCCTCAATAGCTGGCCCTTCAGGCAGACTGGAAAGGCTCCTAAAGATGTCAAAGTTTCCCCATTCGCTGGGTGTACCTCCTCGTGCCAATTGCAGCATCCACGAATGCAGTGACATGAAAGAATCCTCCCGCAGTGGAAACTTTTTCGGGCACATGTCTTTGCTGGTGTCGAATTTATCAAGACCCCGCTCCGCCTCAGCGGAACCTTCCGGCAATTCTGGGCCCCCGCTGTTGGCGCTACCAGTGCAATTCGCCACAGTGCTCAACTGCGCATGAGCCTCGCTGGGTGCCGTAGAATGCAGAGGGTCTTCTTGGAGGTGACAGTCTCTTGGAGGAGTTTCTTGGCTCAGTGGTATTTCACTGTCCTTTGGCTGGTCTCCTGCACTTGCACCATTCACGACCGTACTTTTTTCTGATGGGCCGTCTTCCGCCGTGGAAAGGGTAATGGGTCGCTTTGGCTCCAGTGGCTGCTGCAGCTTTGGTGGTGTGGAGGAAGATGAGCTATCGACATCTTCTTTCTCTGTTCGGGGCTCTCCAGTGCTGCCCTGAGAGCTATTCTTCATGCCTGGCTCCTCTAGAACAAAGGTCTCTGTCTCTTTCTTCGGAGTGACCCGGACGACCGTTGCTGCGAACGATTGCACAGGGGAATCACCGTCATTCAATCTCCCCTCCTCAAAGAGAGCCGTGAGAGATACCCCTTGCACTGTCTGCGGAAGGCATGAAGAGTCAGTGGGATTGGATTTTGTTGGGGGCAGTTCAGAAGCCCTGGTCGCCTCACAGATCAGGTCGTCTCCAGAAGTTATCTCCGCCACAGATCCCTTACCCTCATCACAGGGACGCTCAGTTGCTGACTTGGTCAGCTTCCACTGTTCCTCGTTTGGCTTTGTCAAACGATCCCCACTCGAGCCAGCAGCAGTGCAAGCAGGCGCCTCACAGATGCCACTCCTTGGTTGGTTTCTCTCAACAGTGGAAGCAGGAACGTTCTCCACCATGCCCTGGGATGGGCTACCCGGCAGTATGCCCCCTTTAGAGACATGCCAACGTGAGGTACTAAACGAGCCCTGCATCAGCTTAGGGCCGCAATCCTGTTCATATCTTGCCGACTGTGATGAGAAATGGCCCGTTGCATCACCAATAAACCTCGTGTTTTCGCTCACTAACCGCATCAACCCAGACATTGAAGGTCTTAGGACAGCTCCTGCAGAGGTGGACCATGAAGGGGCACCCGCAGACGGATCTGTTGGTGGCTCCAGGCTGTAGCGACATTCCAGGCGCATGTTTGAAAGGCCCATAAAAAGTGCATCCCAAAAAGGCTGACAGGAACCATCGCAGCACACAAAGCGTGTTCGTTTCTTCAATATACCACATGGCGCGGCTTCGAAATTTCATGACACAAAATACACCATCACAGGCTGCTGCGCTCTGTTGTGTAGCTGCGCAAATCAAAGTAGTAATTCCTGGATCCCTACGAACTTGCCTCAGTGGTGTTCGAAACGGAAAGAGCGTAGTAGCCGGGCTGAGTAATGGTGACGTCAAAGAGGCTCGTGTAAACCTGCAAAGCGAGCCCACAAAGTGCCACGCCATGGTGGCAGCTCGTTTCTTTTTGAAGGCCATGTTTCAAGCAACATCGTAGCACTGGAACGCAGGGTTTTCAAATAAAGGCTGGTACAAGAACTCGTGCGAGCCTTCCACGAGTCAGCAACCACAGGGTTTTAAAAGGGAAAAGATTAGGGTAAAATAGGAAGAAGCCATATGGTGTCTACGCCTGTAAAAAGGCCTAATGGCAGTTAATCTGCAGCTTTCGTGGCACTTTCTGCGGCACAGCACAAAGTGGAGGAGTCTCACCGGTCCTTTGCTGAGAGTCACTTCCTTCAGGTCATCTTCTGTGGGAAAGAAAACCCTTACCGGCTCCATATTAGCGTCCCTAAAGTTGCAGCAATTCATTTCCGTGTGTGTTGCCCTCGTCAGAAGAAACCCGGTCCAGGGGTTGTTCCCTTGCCTTCGCTTCAGTGTCTGCACATACAAAGCCAGCCACACTGAGAACCCTCGCTAGGAAGACACATCACCCCTGTGTGGAGCCAAACTGAGCCAGAACAGAGTTACTGAAATAATGAGGAAACAGACCCGTAGTGCGGTGCCTCTCTAGTTCGTCTTAGCAGCTCAGAAACAGCTCCACCCCTTTGTTAAAATTTCTATGCAGACAGCTGAAGAGCTGAACCCACGGCTGGAAGTTGTATTTCTCCCCTGATACGAGCAGCTCTGATGGAAGGTAGTGACCTCTGGAGGACAGAAGGGGCCAAATGAAGCCGCCCAATGGCAGCGTTGTTAGAGCGCAGCTGCGCCGCTTTAGTAGCTTTTCCAAGTAAAGTGAATTTAGTTTATGTACACATAACATTAGAAATTAGTATATAGTTAGAGGGAAAGGCAGAAGCGAAGCGCAAGTGTTCACTGTGCTTACCACTGGTCTCGAGATCGGTCATTCTGAAGGCCCCAAGAGGCCATCACCTGAAGCTGCGGTGATTAAGGGGCTAAATAAGTGCAAAATACTATGGAAAACGTCTATTGCAATATATATTTAGCAATGTTTTTGTGTTCACAGCTACGTACGCCTTGAACTCAACTGACCGTACTTGACCTGACGTTGCAGCGTCGACGTGTGTCACAGGGTATCACAGCATCCCCTTCACCGTCACCTCACAGACACCGGAACGTGTAAAATACTTAAAGCATTACGAATTACCCGGCGATTTCAATCTCTAAACAGAAGACCTGTTTCCTGCCACACACCCTCGAAGGGCAAAAACCTACACGACGTTGTCCGTAAGTTGCAAGTAGAGAGGTGCAATTTTGGTGCGACATCTGGCTATCGGCGGCTGGATACGCGACACACAGATTCCCAACCAGCACGCCCCTCTTGTTCTCAACCGTACCCTTACACCATCAAAAAGAAGTGCGGCCTGCTCAAAAATTCAACATCGTTGCGGAGTTGTTCGCCCTGCAGCAGTACCCCCGCCCACCACAATAAGGTGGTACATGTTCTGTTCGTCTTAAGGCGCTGCTACTTCCGCCTGCTGAGTTGCCTGTAGGCGTCACTCTAAATCCTTGCCTAGCCGCAGGTCACAGCAAACCTCGTGGGTAAGCAACACAAGAACCTTCAGCCTGTGGCAAGCTGCTCTAATCTCGTGCCTCCACTGTAGTTCCATATTGGAAATGCTTCTGGCGATGGCTGCCTTCAGCTTATCGCCAAAGATCCGGCACATCCACACTGCACGTTGCCGTGTCCGCAACTCTCGTTTGTAGTAGGCGGTAGCTATAAACTTAAAATTACAAAAGCAAAAATGCTGTAGCAATTCGGGCCCGGATTTACCCAAGACGGCCCAAATAATGCTTCCTACGGCTGACTGAGTCCAATGCCAGCAACAGCAAATGTACTCCTGCTCCCATGGGCCCCTGTACCCCATAGAGATTCGAGGTAAACAAAGAGACAATGAAAGAACTACTCGCAGATATTTCCTATACGCAGCAACTGCAACCTTGAGCAACTATGCAATGTTCAGCTCCACATAGACGGATTCGAGTAGTTGCCGTACGTCTGCCTCCCTTGGTTGCTGTAGTTCTGGTTTTGCTGCTGGTACGAAGTCTGATAAAAATTGCTGGCTAGCCCCGGAGGCTGCGAATAATGCGTATACGCGTTGTAGTTGTAATATCCCCCTGCTGCTGCAGCCACCGCGGCCTGCTGCTGCTGCTGCTGCTGCTGCTGCTGGTCCGCGCTGTTGCTGCTACCACCGCGGTGGTAATTGCTGCCACTGCACCAGAAAAAAGTACAGAACGTACACTACTCGAACTTCAGTATGCACAGTCCAAACCCGTGAACCACCAAAATATGTTTCACCAACAAGTACTAACATCTGTAAGCCGTGTTGAAGGGCACGCGATCTGCGGCCAAGTGCAGCCATCCAAAAATTTTTCGCGACAGCAGCACTCTGTGACAGTAAGATGCGCTAAGAGGACCTCAAACAACTCCTACGTAGAAAATCAGGCACGAACTTACAGCTGCTGCTGCTGTTTAAAATTGTTGCTCTTCCCATACTGGCTTGACATCACGGAATTACTGTTCAACTGGCCTTGCTGCGGCTGCGGCTGCTGCTCCCCTCTGCCCCCAATGGGGCCTCCGGAGCTACTGCTGCTGGCAGGTGGGGGCCCGCTGTTGCCGCTGCTGTAGTGATACTGTGCACCAGCAGCGTTGCTACTCGCTGGTGGAGTTCCCACCTGCAAATGCAGCCGCAAACGCAGCAGGAAGATATGGTATGAAGCTCTACGCTGTATGTCGCAGCTCTGCTTACGTTAACGTCAAAAGCAGCAAAAGGAGAATCCACTGCTTCGAGGTGCATGAACACGACAACGGACATGAGGACCTCTTGAGCTCCCTTACTTTGAGTTGCGGGTGTTGGTAACTGCTAGCTGAGAAGCCTGGGGGAACAGCTGCATTACCCGAGGCAGAGGCTGCAGGGTAGGGGTTTGCTGCTGCTGCGCCCGCCACATGCAGGCTAGGATTGTAGAAAGTGGACACCCCTTGGCCTGCTGCTGCCGCTCCGGCCGGCGCTCCTGCAGCGTGCTGCTGGTGCTGCTGCGGACCGGTGACCCCAGCACCTGCAGCCCCTGCAGCGCCTGTGGCCGCTGGAGCGAGAACTACTCCAGGTGTCTGGGGCGCAGCTGCTGCAGCAGGAGCAGCAGCTGGCGCTGCTCCGGGTCCTCCAGCGCCTCCATACATCTCCGTGGGGGCCGCTCCCGCTGCACTTGCAGCTGCTGCATCGTCAAACGAGTCCTGGTGAGTATATGGAGGGTAATTGTGCATATATCCCTGAGGCAGAGCGCCGGGTCCTCCCTTTGCACCGTAGGGGCCCCCCATGATGCCATAGTGCGGTAGCTGCAGTAGCAAACAGAGCGACACGGACGACTACGATATCCGCAGGAAGAAACCATACAAGACCACGGAGCAAACCAGGAAGCAACACATCATGGGCAACACAGGAAACAGCAGATATGACATACCAAATTCCCGTGGCCGTAGTAGACGCTGTTGTACTGCGGATATGTCGTGAGCCCATGGTAGTTCGGGTAGCTGTAAGCTGCTGCTGCAGCTGCTGCTGGCTGGCCTGTCAGGTTCGGGGCCAGTCCAGGAGGCGGGGTGAAAGCATGTGAGTTGTTGTACGCAGCCGCTGCAGCAGCTTGCTGCTGCTGCTGCTGGCCTGGAGTTCCCTTCCCGCTGTTGTAGTGCTGCTGCTGTTGCTGCTGCTTCATTTCCTCCCGCTGCTGCCGCTGTTGGTGGCTAGAACCGTCCAGTGACCCGCCTGCAGGAGGTGGCGGAGGCTGTTGCTTACCTTGCTGCTGCTGTTGTTGCTGCTGCTGCATAAGAGGACCCACACTGCGATTGAAGCCATTAGCTTCTCCCCAACCCCGCCCTGTCTGCTGCTGCCCATAGTGCTGCTGCTGCTGGTGGTGCTGCTGCTGTTGCTGCGCGTAATGGTGCTGCTGCTGCTGCCCGTAGTGGTGCTGCTGCTGCTGTCCTCGCCGCTGCTGTTGCCGGTCGTGGTGAAGCCGCTGTTCCTGCTGATGCAGCTGTTGCTGTTGCATATGCTGTTGCTGCATCTGCTGCTGCGGTGGCTCAATATACGAACGCGCGACGGCCTTCTGCCCCGACTCTGCGTGTTGTTGCTGCAGTTGCTGTAGCTGCTGCTGCTGCTTCTGCGCTGCCTTCCTCTGCGCTGCTTCTATCTCAAAAATGCGCTCCATCTCCTGCTGCTGTTGCTGCTCTTGTTGCTGGGGCAAGTATATGCCTCCTGGAGATGCTTCATATTCTCCACTAGGCTGCTGCTGTTGCTGTTGCTGTTGCTGTTGCTGCTGTTGCTGTTGCAACTCTGGCGCAGCAGCCTGCTGCTGCTGCTGCTGCTGCTGCTGCTGCGGTTGTTGCTGAGGAGCTGCCTGGAAGGGCTCGAAAGAAGAGGCGACAGAGCCGAACACGAGAGCCTTCGTGCTAAAGTTGGGGGCACCCCTAAACCTCGCCGGCATGACGACGGGCTCAGCAGGGGTGACTGTTACAGCAGGCACTGCTGCTGTTTCTGCTGCTGCAGCCTCCGCCTCGGCTTCCCTCTTCTCCGTGCTCACAGGATCAGGCACGGAAGGTGCTTCCGGAGCTGGAGGCGACGGCTTCGGCGAACGCGGCGGGCTCGGCGCTGCCGCTGCTGCTGCTGGAGAAGGGCTCCTTGACCGTCCCTGAACCGCTATAGGGGACAATTCGCGTCTGTAGGCGGGGGTGGGGGGGGCAGCTCCCGAATCAGGCTGCAACAACGCCTGACTTTGCGGCTGTTGCTGCTGCTGCTGCTGAGTAGGAGCAACCGGCGAATGCGACCGCGGCGAAGGCCCACATGGTGTGCGCCTGCCTCTGTGCGCCGCACTCCCTGTTGCCGCTTTGGGGCTCCCCGCTGCCGCTGCAGTCGCAGTTTTCGATTCAGCTGCAGCTGGAGCTGCTGCTGGCTGCTGGAGCTGCTGCTGCTGCTGCGGTGGCGGCTGGGGTGCCGGCCTAACCAGGCGAGCTGCCCACGTTCTTGGCTGCGCCGGTGCTACGTGTGCCGCTGCTTCTGCTGGTGCCGCTGCCTGTGGAGCTGGTACCTCTTCTTTTGAAGCAGATGACGCCCGCTGCTGCTGCTGTTCCTCTCGTTTGACACAACTGGATGGAAGGCCACCGTCCGGACCCTGCTGCTGCTGCTGCTCCGTACTTTGTGGTTGCCGCTCTTCCGGTTCCTGCGGCTGCTGCTGCTCCGGTTGTCCTTCAGGTTGGGCTTGTGGTTGCTTCCTATTTTCCTGGTCCCTTCCTGTACACAAACACATAAGAGCCCTTAGCCACGTAGCTGTCT